ATGTGAATAGCCTTTAATTCTTGAGGGTGGGCAGACTCACTCAGTTCACAAGAAAGCTGAGGTACTTGTCATGGATGGCTACAGTACATGAAATGGTGGAATAAAGCCCAGATCACACAGAACTCTCCAACCATTTAGAGTATAAGAAATGAGGACCTTAAGGATGATTATTACTTTTAAATTTAATATCATTTTTATATTTATGTAGTAATTGTTGCCTTCGTTTTAATTAGTACTTTTATATCCTTTAGACTACTTTTTTGTTGGTATGAAAAACTTCTTCAGTTTTTAACAGAAATTATAGAAAGATAGTAAGTTTACTGAAATTTACTTTGTAGCCACTTTTGTAGAATGTAATGTCCGAAATGATATTTGGCCATTTATAATTTGGGCCTACATAACATTAAAATGCAATTTCTAAAAGTGGTAAAATAATATATTGCCCTGGAGATAGCTCAAATCATGCTGCGTATCATCTGTTTTCCATAAAATCCATCTCCACTGTCAAGTTCAGGTTTGGGGGGGAATATATAGTTAAACACTTTAAGACCTGGATAATCAAAACAAATGTGCATTGCTATTTGGAATTTATAGAGGCTTTACTATAGCCAGAAAAGCAAAGTTACAATAGTATATTATTGATGTGGTGCTTGTCAGTAAGTTTATAAGATCTGCAAATTTTGTCTTACTAATTTATGTATATCTAATACATAAACGTGCTTGACCCTAAAATCATGTTTGCATAAATGACATAGTTTTCATTCTTTTTTTTCTTTTTTGTTTTGTTTTTAATAATTTTTATAGCATTGTAAAGAAAGAGGTGACTGGACCAGATTGGGAAAATTGTACCTAAATGTAAAAATGGGCTGTGAAAAATTTGCAGATTTTGAGACGTTTTGTGCTTGCATTGCTAAAACACTTACAAAAAACTATGAAGAAGAAAGACCAGATGTTCCTTTTTGTGAATTTGCTGAAACAGGTAAAATGTAACTTTTGGCCTGAATATATATTGTGTATGAGGATGATGTGGTGTTCTTTTTTGTTTTTTAGAGACAGGGTCTTCCTCTCTTACCCAGGCTGGAGTACAGGGGTGCAGTCATAGCTCATGCAGCCCCAAACTCCTGGGCTCAAGAAATTCTACTGCCTCAGCCTCCCAAGGAGCTGGGACTACAAGCACATGTCACTATACACAGCTAATTTTTTTATTTTTTGTAGAGACAGGGTCTTGCTTCATTGCCCAGGCTAGTCTCAAACTCTTGCACTTAAGGGATCCTTCCACCTAAGCCTCTCAGAGCACTGGTATTGTAGACATAAGGCACAGCTTGGCCAGTGGCAGTGTTCTTAACAAGAATGTAAAACTCTTTAATATTTTCCAGGTTGTGAATAAATTAATGCAGGTTTCAGATACTCTTCCTTCTGTTTCTGAAGTTTTCCGTCTATTTATTAAGTTAGATTATAATGATAAAAGGTGAGGAATTGGTGTTTTAGTATCAGATGTTTTATATTCTTATTTTTCTTTTCACTCAAATTGGTAAAACTATTGCTAGCAAATTATACTGGAGCACCTGAATTTTTGAATTATTTAAGTTGTTACTCTCTTTACTATTACAAGTAAACAGAATTTATATAGTTTTGAATTTGTTTTGTTTTTGACCTGAGTTCTTTACTACTGTAGACTTTATCAGGGGTTGGCAAACTTTTTCCATAAAAAGCCATATAGTAAATATTTTAGGCTTTGAACACCCGCATGTGATCTCTATCACATTGGTTTATTTTGTTTTTAAACGATGCTTTGAAAACAGGAAAACCATGGTTGGCTCATAGGCTATACAAAAACAGGGCACAGTTTGCCAACACCTGGTATTTGTGGTAGTATCAATAATTCTGTATTAGTTTGCCTCTTCCATCATTTTAAGTGACTACTTTATTTTCTTTTATATGCCTGCTTTTTGTTTCAGTTAGCAAAGATCCACAAAACAGTAAAGTAGATAAAAGTGTGCTGGGAAGAATCGGAATCAGTGCTTTGTACTTCTATCACAAGCTGTTGCAGTGGTCCAAGGTACTTCATGGAGTTTTTGTCTTAGCTTGGTATAAAGAGTATTAGCTTTAAAATTATGAACAGAATATAAGTTAACCCTGCAAATTAGGAGCTTGCTAATAATCATTACAATTGATAAAATGGGACCCAGACTAGTGAGTGCTTTATTAAATGGTATATTAAGCAAATGGCTACTATTTAAAATCTCAAACTGGATGCAGTGGAGTGTACCTCTAGTTCCAGCTACTCAGGAAGCTGAGTTCAAGACCAACCTGGGCAGCATGGACAGATTCCTGTCTTTAAAAATAGTTGTTATTATAAAAATAAATAAAATCTCAGTATAGAGAACACTTAACCCATTTATGCCGGAAGTTGCAAATTTTTTTGTGGAAAAAATCAGACTTTGGTGATGACCTTGAGCAGTAGGATGTAAATAACTCCCACAAGCTTAACATTAGACATAAATGGATTAAGAACCCATGCTAAATGTAATATTTATTTGAAGTAACTTTCAACTCATATTATTTTGCCAACACATGAGTATCAGTTATATTGTAATTTTAGAAGAGTTCAAGATACATTTCTTTTTTTTCCTTTGTGATGGAGTTTCACTCTTGCTGCCCAGGCTAGAGTGTAATGGTGCAATCTTGGCTCACCACAACCTCTGCCTCCCGGGTCCAAGCAATTCTCCTGCCTCAGCCTCCCAAGTAGCTGGGGTTACAGGCATGCACCACCACACCCAGCTAATTTTGTATTTTTAGTAGAGACAGGGTTTCTCCATGTTGGTCAGGCTGGTCTCAAACTCCCGACTTCAGGTGATGCACCTGCCTCAGCCTCCCAAAGTGCTGGGATTACAGTTGTGAGCCACTGCACCCAGCTAAGACACATTTCTTAAGATGAACTCAGAATACGCACAATTAACAGAACTTCTTAAAAATCACCTCTTAGAATACCCCGGAACACTATATACAATATAACTTGATGTCTCTGAGGCTTAGCTTACCATAGTTAGAGGTGGTTTAGTGACTCAAGACCATATTATATTACCATTCTTTAGATACTCCTGAGGTGGCAGGTGGAGTTATAGACTCAATAGAGTTCAAGTAGAGGACAGGGAAATCCAAAATAGGGAGGAAGCGCTCAGGGATGGAGTTATATAGAGAGTGGGGTAGAGATTGTAGTCACTATGGATTTAACTATTAAAGTATATCTTTTGTTACTTGCTACTTTTATAAAGAGGTTATTTCACAATTGAATATGTTCAATAACATTTAAGTACATGGTCACCTGTATACCTACAAAATTCATGAATTAAAAAAAAAAATTTTTTAACCTAGAATGGTTAAATAGAAAGCCTCCAGGCTCAAAAGTCTCCAGGAGGCTTTGCTTTTATTGTGTGGTGGGCCTGAAGTGGGCAAGGTGTACCTTGTGTCTGCTCTCACAGTCGAGCTTAAGGTTGGTCATAGCATTAATATCCTGACTGTTTAATGCTTGGGAATTTAAGGACTACCTAACAAGAAGATCCTTTATAAAAACTCAGACTGGGCCAGGAGTGGTGGCTCATGCCTGTAATCCCAGCATTTTGGGAGGCCGAGGTGGGCAGATCACTTGAGGTCAGGAGTTCAAGACCAGCCTGGCCAACATGAAACCTCATCTCTACTAAAACATACAAAAATTAGCTGGGCATGGTGTTGCATGCCTATAATCCCAGCTACTTGGGAGGCTGAGGCAGGAGAATTGTTTGAACCTGGGAGGCAGAGATTGCACCACTGCACTTCAGCCTGGGTGACAGAGTGAGACTCCATCTCAAGTTAAAAAAAAAAAAAAAGGAAGACTGATTTTGCTGAAATTTTAGAGTATTTTTAAATTTTATTTGGTTATTATTTCTTAAGACAGATTGGTGAATTTTATCTATTTTAATTAAAATTTTAACCAATTTATTTAGAAAAGTATTTTATCACCTTAGTATGAATTTTTTAATGAAACCTATTCCTTTTTTAATGAAAAAGTAAAATCATTGAAATTGAACTAAACATATCCCTTCAAAAATGCACTCATTTATACGGTCACCTTGAAAGTACCTTCACATCGTAATAAGCATTTGATTCAAATAGTATAGGGTATAAAACAAGGGTCTATACACTAAGGCCCATGGGCCAGAATTTACCCAAAGCCTGTTTTTATAGAGCCCTCAAGCTAAGAATTTTTTTACGTTTTAGAAGAGTTATAAATTTAAAAAACAACAATCAAAAAGAATGTACAACAGACTAAATGTGGCCTGCAAAGCCTAAACTATTTACTATCTGGCCATTTACAGGAAAAGCTTGCTGACTCATGGTATAAAATAATTATTTATGTCCAATTTCTGATGTCTAAACCAAAGGTAATTTTCATGTAGAATACATGAAATAATTAATCTACTCAATTAATAATTTTAGCTAACAATTGTATTTTATTTTTCACTATCATTCTTTTTCTAAATTTTTTGGAAGGTAGGGCAGGGGTTTTACCACACTGCCCAGGCTGGTCTCAAACTTCTGGGATCTAGTGATCATCCTATTTCAGCCTCCTCCTGAGTGTGTCTAAATTTGATAACAAATTATTTTCATTTTTATTGTATCTCCCTCCTAGATCCCAGATTGACCAACAGAAGAGAAGCAAAAACGTATAATCAGTAGTTTTCTAATGTTAAATGGAATCCTTTTGTCAAATGAAATCTTAAAGAGAAGTACAGTGTATAAAACAAAAAGAAGACTGCCGATAAAGGGGGTCTTGTGATATTGGTGGGAAGGGTGGTTAATATGAGGGAGAACCTTGCTTGTTCCTCTTTCCCTTTCATCTGTGAACAGTAAGGGGCTTAAGGAAAGAGTCTCGGAGCAGTTCAGCAGTCTAGGATGATGATTCAAACTGGATAATTGGCTTGTGAATAATTATCAATGGCTTTGTGTGTCTATAATTGATTGATACCCAATTAGCATTCTTTATTTTTATTCTAGGGAAGGAAGGTCTTAGATAAACTATATGAATTAAAAATACACTTTACAAGTTTAAAAGGACTTATAGGGCCTGAGATGTTAGCATCAAGATGTCAGATTGTGAATGTTGCAGCAGAAATTTTTCTAAAAAGTGGAAGCCTAAATGGTGCCATTTGGGTAATGAGGGGTAAGTTCTGATATATGCAAGCATAAAATAATTTGTTAAACTTGTTATGCATTTTTGTCTGTGTAATTAGTTTGTTATTGAACTGTGGTTAATAGCTTGGTCTAAACCCTAGTGAAGATATGGGGTAGGAAAGGTTGTTATGTAAACTGAAAGAGAAAAGTTAACTTAGCCTTAATAAAGAAGAAATTATTGAGCCTTTGTTGATTTAGAAACTAGTTCTTTCTATGGCCTGCTTGCCCTGAATTATCCCAATTAATCTTCATAGAACACTGAATTTGGAACTATTAAAATCCCCATTTTATTGATAAGAAAATGTTGCCAAAGATACTGACCAACTTGCCCAAAATGACATAACAAGTAAGGAATGGAGGCCAGACTCAAACCCAGACACTCCAGCTTCGGAGCTCAGGCTTCAGCAGCTATGTAAAACAGAAATCCTGATTGTAGTGTGCATAAACTCTGTCTTCACACATATAGGCAAACATGACTTCAAACCAAGATGAGTAGAGCTTACTTTCCTTGGTAAGGCAATTTTTCTAAGCAGAAATTACAATGACATTAAGCCTGCAGGAACAAATAAGGTTAGTTTGGTATGAGAAAAATAAAAGAGCACAATAGTGTTATGACACTAATGAAGCTAATGATAGCTCTGGCTATTTGGACCATCAGGCAGATTTTATTTGATAAAGTGGGATAAGAATGAAGAAACTTCAAGGATAACAAGAGTTTAGGTGGGAAGATAGAATCAATAAATAAAGCAAATGGAGAACTTTAAAACACACTAACACATGCTAGCACATAATGAATACATGTAATTCATATATAGGCACATATATGAACATGTGATTCATATATGGGAAATATATGTGTGTAAAACACTTTGTATGTGTTCAGTGCTGAGGGTTTAATACAGAGGTTGTGAGTAGGCTTTATTCAAAAGCTTGTTTGTAGAGGTATTCTTCAACTTAAACATGATGAGTGAGGTTCCCTAAGTGGGAAGAGTGTCAAAATACAAAAATATAAATTAGTGAAATATAAGCCAGAGCTCACAAGCTCTGTGAGGAAAGAAGCGATGTGGCAGGAAATGGGAAGGGGAAAATAGTAGATAAAAATGAGCTTCGGTCACCTTACAATAGGAGCCACCTGCCTAAAAGTTTGTGGCAAAACCAGTCTTTCTCAAACTAGAAACTGGGGGAGCTTTAGGAGGGATATGGAGTGATCTGTGGAGATTTTGTTTTACATTTCAGTGTTGCCATTTTTAGACTAACTTTAAACTTCTATCAATTCTTGTTTTGCAGTGACAGTTTCAACTAAAAGTAATTTTCATAAGTAAAATTTTATTTCTACAAAAGAAGAGCCCACAGAAGTATGCTCCATTGTTCCTGGAATTTTTTAATTCTTTTTTTTTTTTTTTTTT